AAAACAAACAAAAAGATTAAAAATCATTAGAAGATTAACTAAAAACTAGTTAGTCCTGGGCATATTTGATTTTTAAAATTCAGATTGTAAGTATAGTCATATCTGTTTGATGGAAAATAAATTGGTATCTTTTATTGTGAGGAGAAATATTGTCTAGAATGAAACTCATCACTTTTCCTTCTGCAAATTTGCTTCTTTATTTGCTTTCCTTATCTCAGTTAAAGGTATCATCATCACACTCTGATGGTTCCTTTACCGTGCCCCAAATGGTTGTTAAAATAGTTGTCTAAAATAGTTTGTCTCATTACAGAATGCCTTTCAAGTCTGTCTCTACTTGCATTGCCACCATCTTGAGCTCAAGCTTTCAGTCGTGTAACTAAACTTTTTAGTTACTGGTTTCTTCCTGTACTGCTGACAAAAAGTGGTCTTTCCAAAATAGAGCTAATTCTGTGTGCGCCCTGCTTAAAATCCTGTCGTTTCTCCCTGGTGATGACAGGATAGTATGCCGTGTATGGCTCTACTTCCTGCCTACCTCTCTGTCTTCATTTCCAGTCACTTCCTTTCATCCTTCACACCCTACGACATAACATTCCAACTCCATTTTGCTGACTATTGCATGCTTCTTTATGCCTCAAACATTTCTCTGTCACCTGGAATGACCTTCCCTTATTTCCAGTTTTTGCTTAGATAGGCTCAGCATTATCCAACTTAAATGTCACATTCCCCATAACTTCTTCTCCTAGACACAGTTGCTTAATACCCTTCCTGTGCTTCTCACACTGCATTCTCTATAAACCCCTTAAGATTCCCTATCATGATTATTTGCTCACATTATCTGCTCCACATCCCACTTAGTACCTACTATGGTGTCAGGCACATTAGAAATACGCTTGGTAAATGTTTTTTGAATGAATTCAGATCTTATTCTAAAAAATGATGTTCTTATTATTGCTCAAAATGTAATTTTTATCTACAGTTGATAATGATTTATAGGTTTATTGATTCAATTAATATTTATTGATTATATATTCAAAGCAATCATAGATGTCTGTCAGAGTCTCCTCTCTTGGATCCTTACTTCAAGAAAACTTTAACATTTAAAAGATGAGTTCCATATAAGAGCATTATTTCTTGTCCCTAGAACATGTGATATTCTTCATCTCCCACCATGAGGAACATTCTGCTAGAGATGGAATTTTTCAACAGTATTTTAAAACTTTAGGGCTCTTTTAACTTGATATTCAATTCAACAGATGTAAAAAGAGTCCGACAGTTCTTTATTAAAATAATATCATTATACCTTTTAGTAGTGTTTGTATTAAATAAAGATAGCTTTGTCCCAAAGGCCAAGCTTCTAACTTTATACTCATTTTGGAGATTTCTTATCTGGTTTATCATTTGTGGCAGTTTTTTGTTTTGTTTTGTTTTATCTTGTTTTTTTAGTGGGGAGGGAGTGTCATTCTGAAAGTAGAAATTGACTTCCTATCCCTAGTCAGTATGAACCCAAAAGAACTGCCAGTTTTTTTGGATAATGGTTTACTCAGCTATATCAGTTTTATTTACTGCCTGGATCTGGACCACCTCAAGTTTGTCCAGCTAATTAATCTTCTCAAGTACTTGTATCTTAGCCACTCAGTGAGCTGACTTCATCTTTCAACAATGTAGTTCATAATATATTCAAAAGTTCTTAATGGATGGTTTCCTTACTGTTAAAGTATCTCCCAAATATACAAGCCTCTTTCCTCTTAAGCCCTCACACATTTATTGTCTACATTCCAGGTGTTCATTTTATACTGGTAAGCTATATGGTTTGCAGTACTGAATCAGTAATTCTGGTTAGAATATTTATTCCAGCAAACATACATATTTTCTGGCGAAAATATTCTATTACTTTGCCCATACTCCTAACTGTATTTTTGCTGGGGAGGCACATATGTACAGCTCCTTTGGGGGCTACTTCTTACTTAACAAGGCACAGATTGTCATGATAGAATAGGAATGCTATAAATAGTCCTTAGTATCATTTCTCCCATTTTATAACTTGCTTTAAATTTTTCCTTTTGTCTTTCAAAACCGTATAATTTTCTTTCTTTCAATCTTAATCTATCTTTGATTTTTACCCTAGCCCTTCAGTACACTTTTAAACACTCTTATAGTCTGTTCATCCATCCCCCAAGCTATACAAGTTTTTTTCAGATTTTCTCTTTGTTCTCTGCTTCGTGTGTGCTTTTCGCTTACGCTATTGCTTTTTGTTCCCATGTCTGACCACAATAAGTTACTTTGACCAGGAAAACTGTCAAAATCATTCAACTTTGAATTGGCCATTATGACCAGTCTCATAAGCATATATTGCCATATTATTAATGTCAAACTATTTATGTAGCTCTGCAGCAAACAGAATGGGCTTTGAGTTGGATGACTTGAATTTGGGTCCTAATTCCACCAGTTACTGAATGACACACCTTTGGCTAGCCACCAAATCTCTTCAATTTTTATGTATCAAATGAAGTAGTTATAACTAGTTTAAACAGTTATTAAGAGATTCAAATGAGATAGCATATATGTAAGTTATCTGTAAATTCTAAAGCTCTATATAAATTTTATATAATCTTAATTTGAATTAAAATATGGGCACTTGGGAAGGTATAAATAATAACTTATTTATTACTGTAAACTCCTTAGTACTAACACTATATTTTGCTCATAAGTGGAGATATCAAATGAATTAATTTGATTATGAATTTTTTGTGACATACAAAAAGGATACAGTCAAACTTTTTGAGACATACACTTGTAAAATGTTTGTCTTATTCATATACAGCTTAAGAGTTACTTATAGCATCATTCAGTGGTTGTATTTTCATTATCTTTAGTAAAACATTGAGTTTACCTCTTTTTTTTTTAGTAATACTCCCAACCAAAGTGATTATGTAATTTTTGAAGATAGATAGATCTTTCAAATTTGCCTCTGCTTGTGTTCTCATTGTCACATTTAGTTTTTCTTTTGCTTTTGGGAAAATCCATTTGTTCCTTCTGTCCAAAACTAATTAGACAAAACACATGAGTAAAGGTGTGAGGTTCTATGGACTTGAAATCACAATGGCCTTTTACAAAATACTGAGAGCACTGTTTGCAAATTGCAATTTTGCTATTGTATCAATTTTTTGTCATTCCTTTTGAACAAAGCATTAATGAAGCATTTGTTTATATTTTTCTTATGATGGAATGATGGTATTTGTAAAAACTATAAATGTTCTTGTTACATAGTAGTTTTTTAAAAGTTCATTTAAAAAATTGACTTCTGAGAAATGAATGCAATTTTATGTTTTTCCTAATTTTACTTCAATTTGTTACATATTTAAAAACTCATACACAGAATATATGTGAATAATTCTTTATATCAAAGCCTTATTGTCTAAATTTACATGAGTTTAATTATGATCATTTGGCCTTTTACTTGTTTTCTCTTTGTCAGAATTCAAATCTTTGAGTAGCCAACAGGTGATACATGTCCCATTAATCTTTCTGACTCCCTAGAACTTGAGCATGAGAATTGCTGATCGATTACACCAATTGTCTCTTAAATGAGCTTCTCACATCTGCCTCTTATTTCATTAGTTAACTGTCTGCCCAAAGATCTGATGAGATGGAACACTAGTATGTTTTTATAGCTTGTTCTGTCGGTCGGTACAATGAGGAGATAGGGTCGTTAGCAAAACGGGCACAAAAGGGTGTCTATCCACTACCTACAGTAAATATACATGGTCGTGTCTAGAAGGCATTTGAGACTGTTTATTGAAATCACCTTAAGAAACAATAACTGGTTTCACTTCGACTTTCCATTTAGCAACAAATAATGTTAAGACCACGGCCTTTCTTACTGTATGATGCTTTTACTAATTACATTTATCATCAAAGGAAGAAAAATGATAGCATTTCTAAAAACTATGAATGTTCTTGTTACATCGAAGTTATTTTTGAAAGAGGAAAAAAATATATTTATTAAGTTACTTTAATTTTAAAAGCAGTGAAAAACTTTAGAAAATATTTTTAAATTACCAAACATCATAATTAACTTACTCTCAGCAGCTTTATTAATACTTGATTACCTCATTCTCTATGTTGGCACTTCAAAAAACTACCAATTAAGATCTGCTTTCTTATCATATCCATTGTTATACAGCAGTCATACTTTTAATTGGAAAAAATCTTGATAACTTTTCATCAATACATATAATAAGAATTAATGTTTAAACTGTTTATAGGAAGAATACGTTCTTAACCTGTAGAATGGGAATAATAATGCTGTGTCACAGAGTATAATGATAATTAAATGAGACCATGCACATAAGGCACTGTGCCAATGTGTTAAATATTGCCCAGCACATAGTAAGTGATCAATGAGTAGTAGCCATTATTACATAGACATTATTACAGCCATTTTTTTTTCTTCTGCTATCTATTTGGGGAGATTGGAAGTATAACAGTGCAATATTTTATAAGCATTGATTGATGTGTTAATCATACATTCTTTTTTATTATTTTTAAAATTATTTAATAACTGATAAGCTGTGGAAATTACCTGTTTGTAAATTAATTTTGTCTTTTGGAACAAAATTTAGGCAGAACTTCAATGATTATTGTTCTTTGCTCCAAGGAAACAACCATGTAATAAATGTCGTTGGAGTAATAGCAGCTATACATAGCTCATCGATTTTACTAACCTTCCCCATTTTGTTTAAATGTAAGAAATGCCTCAACCAAATAAACAACCAAAGTATGAAGTCAGTTGTCAAGTATTTTCACATCATCTTGTGTATCTGAATAGTTTTAAATTATTGTTAAAAATGTATGTTAGGTGAATATTTTCATTCAGTTTACCCTAGGAATTCTATTTAAAAGAAAGCTTTTTTATACATTAAAATTATATAATGAATTAACTCAGAATGGTAATTTCTACCATTGTAATTTCATTTTGTTTTAACCTTTCTTTGTTGTAGGCCTTGTTTGTATGAAGTCCAGCACATCTGTGGTTGAGCTTGTTATGCTGCTTTGTTCTCAGGTACAAAATCTCATTCACTCAATTACATTAATATATGAGGACTTTTGTGACTAATAGTAAAAAGTACGTGCATGTAAGTGTATGTTTATATAATTTTAAGATTTCCATCTATTATCCCATAGATGGAGAAAATAATTTACATTGAGTTACATTAGTATATAGATTATCTTACCATGTAAATATTGACTTATTCTCCCTCTCCCTTCTTCTACTCTTTTTAGCAGTATTATTCTCCTACCCTTTCAATTCTTCCATTGTTTCCTATCATATATATGTATATAAAATACATATATAATGCATATATAAACATCATAATTTATAATTTTTAAATGTATTATTAATTACATTGTTTCTTTCTTCTTCTCTATTATATTTGAGATAATGAAAAGTAAGTTTTTTAATTGCATGCCAAAGTGTATGATATAGCTTAAGACCTTGCTGCTTTCTCTTTTTTTAAGTGTAATTTGTATATGTCAGTATAAATTCTAAAAATCTGCTTGAGCTGTTTATCTTTAATAATCAGAATCAAAGATAAATGGTAATTGTTGGGTATTGTTTCTTCTTAACAATTACAGAGAAACCAAAAATAAATGTAAATATATTTTCTGATTACTTAAATAGAAACCTATTGGTCTTTCTTCTCACCAGCTCTGTCAGGTCTCCTAGTAGTCCTGATTATCCTGATTATCATATTAGTGTTAAATATTCCGTAATGTCAGAATGAAATAAGAGCTTGTGTATGTTTGTAATAAGCAGTTATTACCTTTATTCATAGTTTCCCCAGTAGAAAGAAACATATATCTAAGCTCTTCCTAATTACTGGCCTGAGGTTTGCTTAAAGCTGTAGCTAACTCGCAAATAAACAACAATATGAATTCGAGTGATCCTCTAAAACATCAGCAAAACTAAACAAAACAAACGAAAAACTTACCAATTGATTTTCAGTTTTCAGGTTTACTTTCTTCAAGAATATATTCCTAGGAAAATTGTTAGGCCCATGTTCCTCATTATAGCCAGGAACAATATTGATAAGGAAGAGGTTAAAGAAAGCAGCATCCCTGTGAGGAGCTCATCTGCAGGGCATTTGAAAATGTTGTCACCTACTGTTGAAGTCCTGAGTTCGAGAGACTATCTGGATCTTTTCGATTCATAATAATGCACAGTTCTGTAAAATGCTTTAATGGAAAAATAGCTTAGAATTCCTTCTTCTATAGCCCTGTGTTTCACTGCTGTTCAGAGAAATAAAGAGGAATGTAGCATTAAGATCTAGTGTCTTTGATGGCCTCATCATCTAATCATAGGTTTAACATTACTCATTTGCTGGCTCCAGGAATTCCTGCCATTAAGGGCCCTAGAGATGAAACTTTGCCTCAGATATTGATTGAAAGGAAGAGTGAGAAATTTAAGCTCTCTATGCAGTGCACTTTCTTTCAGTGTTGCAGCAAAGCAATATTGTAAACATGCCTCTTGATTTGATTTTTAAGTTGAATTTTTAAAATAATTCAGTTTTATAAATATTTCAAGTATTTAATTGATTAAATGCACCTCATTTAAGTAAATGCTTATTCTTTAAAATAGCTCCCAATTGTTTTTGTTATTTTCTGTTTAACTGAAATAATGCTTTCCACTAAATATTTTTAATGAAACAAATAATCCTCCTTTATTCCTATTCGGGAAGATAAGTTTACCATTTTACTGTGAAATTAAGCTTCTAGAACTATCTTTGTAGATCATTAATTGCTCCATGTATGTTTAAAATCATGTCTTTAGTTGTAAACATGTCTTCAAAGTTTCTTAAAATGATGTGCCATTTTTCTATACTACTTAAATGCAAGATGATTTACATCCTATTTTCATCCATTAACAGGGCAACATAGCAGTAGCATACCTCTGAAAAGAGAAATAAATACAGTTAATGATGCTGTGGAGACTGCTTGGCATAGCTCTCTCCAAAGCAGTTCTTCTACAGCCCTTAATGCATCTCTTACAGAATGAAGTACAGTCCCTGTAGAATTAGTATAGTTCTGTAGGCCATCTTTGTGCCAAGGCAGTAGGTAATCCTGATGAATCTTGAAAGCTGCAGAGTTCTGAGTACTTTTTGTTTTACTCTACAGACAGCCTTTTGTAAGTCTTGATAGCTCCATGTTATTATCATGAGCAGTATTAATACTAATAAAAATAGTTGAAAATCTGAATGAATAGCTTTAAGTTACTATCTTGATATACTATGTATATATTTTTTCCACAGTGAGAAATCAAACTAAGATCTTATTCATATTGTAATTTAATGCTGGTTAGAATAAGTTAGAATTCTGCAAATGGAATTTTTAATGTATTTATTTGTATAAAATATGCTTTTCTTTTTCCAATTTAGATAAGCCATTGAAAGATAAAAATTTTTTGAGAGACCAGGCAGCTAAGTATTAAAAAGGGAAAAGAAAATGCAATGTTGGGTTTTTTATAGGATTTTGTTTTTCTTTGCTACAACACATTAGATGGATTTTGTTTTTATGCTTCTCATTTTCATTTTGGAAATTTCCTGTTAGCAACTACATATTATTAAGGATATTAGCTTTTCTTTCTTATCTGAGCTCCTGAATAAACTTACTATTGCTAATAGTTTGTGCCCAAAATATGGTCTAAATTTACATGAGATCATATTACAAGTGTCTGAAGGTACTTGTCAAGGATAATTCAGTTCATATGGGCAAACTTTTAAACTCCAAGGGATGTATATCCAGTCTACCCCCCAGTGTAATTTTACATCTTTGTGGAAAATGTATTTAAGTCTTAAGAAGAAGCTGTTAATATTATCATTATGATATATTTATCATTCCACAAATACCCAAAACATTTTTTACTGTATTCTGGATTTTTTTCTGATATAGATTTTGTGATACAAATATATTTATTCTTCTTCACTTTTCTTTTGTATTAAAGTTGATGTTAGTAGCATTTTAAAAATTGGTTTCATATCATTTTGAAGTGAAATGAACTAAAGTAAAAAACTTAGTATCAAATCAGAGCTTAATTAGGGAGTACAATGTCTTTTACAGATTCTTCAGTATATCAGAGGTCTGATACTATCTTTTATCATAGCTTTTAAAAAAAAGTTTTATAATTAGATATGGTTGAGGTGCTTATTCTCTATGTGTACTTATTTGTTTATTACATTATTTTTACCATATTGTGCTCCTTGATGAATAGCAGATTTAGTTTTCAAGTAAACTTCTTTAGGTACTATAATAGTTCCTAATTACTTCCAGATTTTTTAAGGAAGTCTCCATAAGATATACTGCAGGAAAAATGGACTGATGTTATCCCATAGCATTTCTTTAAGTTTTTGTAAGTAAAGCTTAGCAGATGTCACTTGCATTTTTCTGTGCCTTATCTGCCAATAGAAAATATTTTATAAATTGAGAAACTGTATATTTAAAAAATTCTTAGTATTTAAGCGCTTTCTGACTGGAGGCAATGATTAAGCAAATGCATGCTTAGTAAGTCATTTCTACTCTCGCTGAAAACCTAAAGATGTATAAGTAATATAAAGTAATAGGCCTGCAAAATGAATTATTTTGTGGTTTGTTTGAATTTACTTTTTTCTAAATACCTCATATACTTAAATAAAAAGAATTTTAGTGACTTCACTGATATGATCAAAGCATTAACCCAGGGCTTCTAAAGACAGCACTTATAAAAGAACCACAACTAAAGAACAATCTTTTTTTTTTTTTTTTTGATTTGGCCTTTGAACATTTGCGTTTTTCATTTTTTCTCCAGTTTGATATAGTTGAGTCAAATAGTACACAAGAAAAAATACACTTTTCTTCTGCTAAATGCTATAAACCTGAGACTGAGGTTCAAAGACATAGATAAGAGAACATAGAGGCCTATTAAAAAATATTCATTGTAAGTACTCAATAGTGAAAGGATTTTTGGTGTATGTAGTAAGATTTCAAATACAAGAAAACCAGGGATGGAGTAGATGTTTTTTCCCCATTGTCTTTAGAAATATCATGAAATTCTAACTATCATGATGAAGTTATGTCACATTTAATTTTGTAGTTATTTAGTGACTACATTTTTTAAGCATTTTGATGGTTACTAAAGACTTACACATTGTTCCATTTCTCACGTTTAGTATTATCGATGAAACTTGCCAGTTTTGAAGCTGAATTTGAATTCAGTTAAGAACGATAAAAAATTATGACCTGATACTTAAAATTGAATATAAATGAGCAATTACCTTTGTGTGGTTCAGTAAATGAGTCCTGTGTACCAACAATAAGATTGTCATGGAAAGGTTTATTGAGGTGAACTAAAAATGAGCCCTGAAGGTGCAAGGTATTCTATTCAGCATAAGCGGAGAAGGAGAAGTGGGCTGAAGAAACAGCCTGAGCCCTGTTTCTTCAGAAACCTGAGGTCTGGAGAGGAATGAGTCTCTCATTCCTCTTCAGATTGGGATTAGACATTCAGCAGTGTCTAATCTTTTGGCTTCCTTGGGCCACATTGGAAGACGAATCATCTTGGGCCACACATAACATACACTAACACTAATGACAGCTGATGAACTAAAAAAAAAAAAAAAAAAAAAAAAGTCTTATACTGTTTTAAAAAAGTTTACGAATTTGTGTTGGGCCGCATTCAAAGCTGTCCTGGGCCACATGCAGCCCATTGGCCACAGCTTGGACAAGCTTGTGTTACCTGCTCAAGCCAGTTACCAGCCTCATTTACAACACATCAGAAATTAAGTAGCCATATGTGATTAAGGTAGAGGGATAGCAAAAACAATTTTTTAAAAAATTGGAAAATTTAAAAAACAACAGTAGAAATTAAGTGGCCAGGCAATATATAATATTTATTTGTTTACCTAGGCAGTGTGTAATACAATACCTTCCTCAAGAGTATTTTTAATATAAAATATTGTAGTGTGTTAATAGTATAGAATTAAGGCTAGTAAGAAATGTCTAACTTTTAAACAGTATTGGATAGTTCATGAT